CACGGTTGGGCACTGACCGATACACACCATTGGGCACTGACCGATACACACCGTTGGGCACTGACTGATACACACCGTTGGGCACTGACCGATACACACCATTGGGCACTGACCAACGCCAACACTGAGAGACTGACCAATGGGCCGGCTGATGCGGTGGCCGTCCTTCACTTTCAGCTTGTTCTTCTTGAACGTGCCTTTCCTTTTCTTGACATTGGGCTTCTCGGCGTTCATCTGGTAGATGAGGAGGCTGAGCTCCCGCTCGAAGACGTCCCGCTCCCACTGTAACAGGGCATGCTCCCGCTGCCGCAGGGACTCCTCGTGTGATTTCTGCTGGAGAGCTGCCCTCTTCAACTCCTCCTCCCGACACAGCAGCTCCTGAAACGCCAAACAGAGCCATCAAATGGAGTGGCCTACACAAACACTGGCCACCAAGCTCCCCGTCCTCCCCTCGCCGCACCCCCGCCCTAAACCCGCCGGCAAAGGCTTCCAACCGCTCTGGGATCCGGGCGGGCTATTCGACCGCAGGGTGCATCACAGCACGGCAAAGCACAATCCCACAGGACAGCAGACCTTCCGCCCACTCCCGGGACATCTTTTTCCTGCAAATCACAAGCTAGCCCGCCCCAAGTCTTGTCCCCTGCCCCATCTCGAGCCCTGTACCTTCTCCTTGGCCCTCAGTTCGTTGAACATGCTCTGGATCTCCAGCTTCCAGTCGTCCTGCATGGAGTGAAAGGATTCTTGGGGTATATCCAACAGCGCCTGCTCCTCAATGGCCATCAGTTGCTCCAGGATCGCAGCGAACTGGGGCCGGTGGTGAGGGTCTTGATCCCAGCAATCTGCCAGTGAACAGTGTCAGAGAAAGACAGAGAAAGACGGACAGAGAGAGAGAGAGAGAGAGACAGAGACAGAGACAGAGAGAGAGAGAGAGACAGAGAGAGAGAGAGAGAGAGACAGACAGAGAGAGAGACAGAGACAGAGAAACAGAGAGAGAAAGACAGAGAGAGAGAGAGACAGAGAGCGAGAGAGAGAGACAGAGACAGAGAGAGAGAGGGAGAGACAGAGAGAGAGAGAGAGACAGAGAGACAGAGAGAGAGACAGAGAGAGAGAGAGACAGAGACAGAGACAGAGAGAGAGAGGGAGAGACAGAGAGAGAGACAGACAGAGAGAGAGAGACAGAGACAGAGACAGAGAGAGGGACAGACAGAGAGAGAGAGACAGAGAGAGAGAGAGAAGGTGAGATCTTCATGGAACTGATTAAACAAGTCAACGGGCTGAAAAATCACAGATGGAGGAGTTCAATCTGGATAAATGCGAGGTATTACACTTGGGTACAACAACCAAGGGTAGGGCTTAAGCAATTAATGGTAGGGCCCTGGGCAATGTTGTAGAACAGAGGGACCTAGGGGTTCAGGGACATAATTCTTTGAAATTTGCGCCACTTATAGACAGGGCGGTTAAGGCTTCGTTCTGAGGGAGGGTCACTCTACCCGAGACTTTAAACTCTGACTTCTCTCCACAGATGCTGCCAGACCTGCTGAGCTTTTCCAGCAATCTCTGTTTTTATTGTGTGAGTGTGGTTAAGAAGGCGTTTAGCACACTTTCCTTCATTGCTCAGACCTTAAGTACAGGAGTTGGGACGTTATGTTGAGGTTATACAGGACATTGGTGAGGCCCCTTCTGGAATACTGTGTCCAGTTCTGGTTGCCCTGTTATAGGAAGGATATTATTAAGCTGGAGAGGGTTCAGAAGAGAGTTAACAGAAGGTTGCTGGATATGGAAGGTTTTAGTTAGAAAGAAAGGCTGGACTGCAGGGACCTTTATTCCATTGGACCGTAGGAGGTTGAGAGGCGATTTTACAGAGGTTTATAAGGCGGTTTCAAAATTGAGACGTTGCCAGGGCAGGAGGCGGCGTTGATCAACGAGTATGGCAGGCAGTGTCCTTGTGTGAGAGCGTATGGGACTGCGAAGCGAGCTGGCATTGAGCAGAGAGGGCAGTGGGTCATGGAGAATGCCCGACGCTCGCTGGCATTGAGTGTCTCACTGTGCCTTCCTGTTTCTCTGGGTCCTCAGGCGGTAACAAGGGCAGGAAGTCATTCCCGGGAGCAGCGACCGAGAAAGGCTCTGATTTAACACGGCGGGGAATAGTTTTGCTACTTACCAGCCATCAGCTGAGCGAACGGTTCGGGGCAGGTTGAGGGAATGGGGAGCGTCAGTTTGTTGACAGCAACCCCATAAGCAACAGCCAACCCATCGATCCCCCTGTAGGGAACTTCTCCGGTTAACAGCTCCCACAGTAGAACACCATAACTGAGGAAAGAGGAGGAATCTTGTCAATCTGCCACGCTCTCTCGGAACCTTATACAGCACATCGATACAGTCAGACAGACCCGACCTGCTCCGCACAGGTAGGTCAGTGTACAAAACCTGACGCCGAGTCACTAAAGGAGATGCAGTTCACTTGGTCAAAGAGGTTGGTCTTAAGGGAAAAGCCAGAACCCAGAGCTGAGGCACAACTGCTAACTCAGGGACCAGCAATAACATTGTTTTGCTGTCTCTGGTAAGAACTACAGCATCAGTAGGCCCTTCAGCCCCCCCTATTCATTGCTGATTCCATCTCGGCCTCAATTCCACTTTTTCTGCCCGCTCCCTTCAACCCTTAACTACTTAAAAACCGGTCCAGCTCCTCCTCAAATTTCTTCAGTGTCCTGGCATCCACTGCAGTCCAAGCACAGATTCACAAGCCTTCCTCCTCATCTCTCCGTTTTGAATCTGCTGCCCCTTATCCTAAAACTATGACCTGTCTTTCTAGACCGCCCCCCATATGAAACACCCTCCCTAAATCTACCTTATCAATCCCTTTTAGCATCTTATTAGATCAGTAAAATCTCCCCCTCATCCTTTCAAACAGTATAGGCCTCAGTTTCTTCACAAGGCTTATGTCTAGAATCAATCGAATGAACTTCCTCTAAACTGCCCCCAATGCAAACACTTCCCTCCTCAATCAAGAAGACAATGGCCTAGTGGTCTGCTCGCTGGACTGTTAATCTAGACAAGCAGGAAATGCCTGAGGTCTGGGGTTCAAATCCTACCATGGCAGATGACAGAATTTGAATTCAATTTTAAAAGAATAACAGGGAATTCAGAGTCTAATGATGAACATGAACCCACTGTCCCCATCTGATTCACCAATGCCCTGTAGGGAGGGAAATCTGCTGTTTTTCCCTGGTCTGGGCCTACGCGTGACTCCAGACCCATAGCAATGTGGTTGATTTTTAACCAGGACAATAAATGCTGGCCTACCCAATGACAGTCACATCCAGTGTTAATACAGTCTGGTTCAAGTAAGAGATGCCTTTGGTTTGTTTGGATGGAGTCAAACTCCAATGTTTGTTTCCTTGATATGCTACTGTACAGAACTGAACTGCACTTGTGACTATAAATATATATTTTGAACTATTTTTTAAAAAATTAACCAAGAAGTTCAGGGGACCAAAACTGTAAGCAATATTCAAGGTAAACTCTCACTAATATGTTGTAGAGTTTGCAATAAGACTTCCTGACTTTTATACCCAACTCCTTGATATAATCGCGGGGCGCTCGAGGCCCAGATTGGATTGCAAGCACCCTGTAAAACGCTGTGAATAACAGAATGGGTACAATGGCACGTAGCCAGGTACAAATTCAACCACCATCTCCTGACACTGTGCCTGTTCCCTCCCTAGGAGCTGGGTTCACCTTGGCCCACCCCCCCCAAACCCACCCCTTCCCACCCAAAGGGTTGAAGCTGCCCTCCCGGGTGCCCAAGAGCTCCCCCCGGGGCTGCCGTTACCAGCGAGCTGGGACTCCCCCACGTGTGGGATCTTGCCGTGCACCAGAATGGCTCGGCGGCAAACTCCACGGGCACTAAGTGGGGGGGGGGGGCGT